GTTGGTCATCTGACCTTTCCCCGGCTAGTGATTGCTATTTCTCCTTTTTGACGGGTGCCAGTTGGTCCGCCTTTCTTTTCATACCGGCTGCCCTTGGAGCCGGGACTGCTGGATCGCAGTTATCAATATCTATGGGCTCGCCCTGGCCGGCTGCACCCACAGTTGTCTTGACGTTAGAGAGATAGCACTCTCTTGTCGTCTTCTGGTCCCCGCTTAGGGCACCGACTGTACCATCATCCTTTTGAAATTTGACCAACATGAGGGACGGGATGATGACAGCCTTAGATGCGTTGAGGGTAGGACGGCCAAATATCATGTTGTAGGCGGATAACTCCTCCACAACTAAAAACTTGACTATCATGTGGCGTCCTTCCCCCTTTTCACCCAGCCGGATCGGAAGATCTATGCTTCCCACCGGATGCACTACTCCACCCCCAAAACCGACTAGTGGGTGAGGAGCCTGGTGCATGTTACCGGATGTGTACTTGAGCTTGGTCAAGCACTGATAACTGATTAGGTCAGACGAGCTCCCGGTGTCTATTAGGATCCGGCCAACCTTCTGGTTGGCAACCTTGCACTCGATAACGATGGGGTCATCATGAGGCCGCCTGACCTTGCCCCGGTCCTTTTCAGAAATAAGGACCTCAGGGAAGCTGTCTTTCGACGCCTGGCCCTCATCCACTGAGTTGACCAGCTTCCTGATGTTGTCTTTGGTGCCCCGGATGGTGGGACCCCCTCCGGCAAAACACCCTGCTATGGTGAAGATGGTCTCTTCATCCGTCTCGGAGTTTACTGGGCCGGTTTTTGCCGCCTGCCCTTTCTTGGCCTGGGTATTACCCTTAGCCTTGGGTAGATAGGATTTTAGGGCCCCCTCATCTGCTTGACGGTCCAATAGCCGCCTGAGGCTATAGCAGCCATTGGTGTCGTGGCCAACATCCTCGTGGTATTGGCAATACTTGCTCTTGTCCCGTTTATTCACGGGGCTTTTCATTTCAGCCGGCTTGTCGAGAGACATCCGGTCTTTGATTTCCAGGAGGATGGTGGAGCAATCTTTTGTGAACTCGTATTTGGGGACATATGGTTCTGACTTCCGCCTGATCTTCTAGGCCGGCTGATCTGATCGGTCAGCTGCCCAGACCCCTTTTCTCTTTTCTTCCTTTATTGCCGGCTGATGCTGTTGCCGGCTCTCTTTTTTGTCAGACTTTTTATAATCTGACGGCTGCTTGACAGCACAAAGCTCCGTCGCCTGTATATAGGCTTCAGCTTCAATTAACGCCTCTTGGAGGGTAGCAACCCTCTTCCGGACGAGGTCAAACTTAAAGGTCGACCCATCCTTCAGACCTCGAAAGAAGTCTGTATAGGCCACTTCGTCTGATAGTCCTGGAATCTGAATTCTCATCAGATTGAACCGTCTGACGTACGACCGGAGGCCCTCCCGGTCGCCCTGCTGTATTGCCCCTAGGTCGAGGCTAGTCTTTTTGGCAGGAATATTCATTGAGAAATTTGACGTAAACAAGTACGCCAAAGTTCGAAAGCTGTTGATGCAACCAGCTGGTAGGTTACCAAACCACCGTTGGGCTATGCCCTTGAGGGTAGCCGGGAAGCATCGACACCAGACGGCATCATCTAACCCCTGGAGGTACATGAGGTTAGAGTAGGCCATTAGATGGTCTTCTGGGTTGGTGGTGCCATCATAGGCCCCCACCAAAACATTCTTGATCTTAGGCGGCTGTGCCGCCTGGGTTATCTCTGGTGAGAACGCCGTTGGCTGTTCCCCCAAATTTAGCAGGCGCAGCTGCCAGTCCGTGGGTTGGAACGGCTGCTGCGCTTGCCCACCGAAAAGACCCGGTGACATGAAAGGGGATCCACCCAACCCATTCGGTGTGCCGAATAGGCCAGGCTGGATCACTTTGGGTCCAGACCGGGCAGAAGCTTCGCCCGTCTAGCTCCTAAGGTTCGTTCCCGTACGCCTGTGTGAGACGTCATGGAAACTGTTCGGGAAGGTCGACGTTGAGGCCGACGCAGACGCCTGACCTCGCTTCTCTTGGAGAAATGTGCGGGCGTCTGAGAATGTTTTCTTGGAGCCATCCGGCTGTACGTGCCGGATGGCCTTTCGCAGCTCCCCTTGAGGAAAACGGAGTCTGCTTGGATCAAACCTTAAGCCCTCCCCCTCCTTTGGCTTGGGATGAGGGGTAGGGACTCGTTTTTTGACCGCCTTCTTTCCAGAAGGCTTCTTTGCCGGCTGACCCTTCTTTTGAGTAGCTGACCGGATGAGGCTCTTGATCTCACCCTTGAAACTATTCATGAAAGACATGAGTTCGTTTCTTGTAACGGGGGCTGAGCCCTCCACCGTTTGGGCAATTCCAGCCGGTTGCCCGGCTGGGTTGTTGGGAGCAGCTTGGCTGATTTCCCGTTCTCTTCTATCTTTAGCACGAGGGTGCTTTGTTCTGAAAGACCCATCCGGGGCCACATATGTTTCAATTTCGTCGCCACTTTCATGGTCCGTCTGGACCTCAGGCTCGACCACAGGCCGTTTGCCCTGATTCGGTGACACAGTATCAGAAGTCATCTTAGAAGTACTCTCCCCACAGACGGCGCCAAATGTTTCGGGGTTTTTTGATGTGTCCTGCGGGAGAGTTACAATTCCGAGAATGCCCTTCGACGCCTGTGCCTGCAAAATCATGAAGACTCCTGGGGGTAGGAGCTCCGCCTCCGACGATCAAGTTAGTAAAGATACGGGAGGTAGAATGCACGTAATGTGGAAGTTACTTCTCGCGTAATGGGAGAATTCCGCAATTAATATTTCTCGGGGTAAGTGTGTTTCTTTTTGAGGAGTATTCAATGTGATCAACAAATGTTCCAGCCCCCATTAATGAGGGTCCTTCCACTATTTATAGTGGGGAAGGGATGGTTCCCCTTTTAGGGTTTAGAGGACACGTGTCAGCAGAGGATTGGAGCCCTGCTGACCAACGGCTGGATGCCACGTGTCACTAGGCCATTGGGCCACGTGTTTAGGGTATTTTTACCCCAAACACTAGGTGTATCTAGGTCTTGTGAATGCGGAATTTTTGTATTTGAGAAAAGGCTAGTTTAGAAAAGAGAGAAGTTTATATCAAGAATTTATTGATGAGAGTTGGTGAGTGAAAACAGAGTTTTTAGAAGACTATTTATAGAGAAAATCAGCCAAAAAGATAGAAAATTGAAACAGAGTTCTGACGCGCAAAAATAAGGTTAGCGCTAGACACAGACATTAGCGCCAGGCGCTAATGACTGGCGTTTGGCGCTGATTAAATTTCTGACGCCTTTTCTGAAAACAGATATAAATTAACCGTACAGGAGGATAAAATCGTATTTTCCTCAAAAACATTCTTTTATTTTGATTAAAACTCTCAAAAGTTAGCAAAACTCAATTTATCAATGCTAATTGAATTAGGAATGAAAAGAATCTTCTAGAAGAATCTAGAACACTAAAACCATCCCTAATTCCATTAGGAATGATAAATCCATATTAGGCCCTCCCCTAGATCATTGGGCCGCATATAAGGCTCAAACCGGGCCCAATTTAGTAATTTTGCCATAACTTCTTCAATATTCATCGGAATTGGGCTTATAATATATCGTTGGAAAGCTCTTTTCAAACCCTATCCAATTACACTACTATTGGACCCATATCATGAACCAACCAAACTGGATTGGCTGTTTTCTTAAAATAGGTTTTCAAAAACAGAGAGAAAAGAAATTAAAACTATCTGCAACACTAGACTTTCCACACTTTCACTTCATTCGATTATGATTCAACGTGAAAGGTACTCATCACTGGGTTTGGTTTTGGGGAGACACAAATGGGTGTCTACAGGTCTATATTGTCTTTTGGTGAAGCAATTTAGCCTATCTGGAAATCTATGGTTGATCTAGAATGAGAATAGAAGTTGATGATGGTTTTTTTGGGTGGAACTATGCATATAGCCCAGCATGGCATAGTTTTAATTATGGTTATAAGACCTGTTGCCATTTTTATTGCTTGTTATACAACTGAGTTTAATATCTATAAAAGCTTTTTCAAGGCATCTTCTTAGACCTCGTTGTTTTATCAGATTGGGCTAAAGTAGATTGAGTCGTTGAGTTAGTACGCATAATTACAATATGAATGTGGGAATTATCAATACAGAGCCCTGTGCTCCGACTGTGAAAGAAGTCTCACCGCGTTGTGGGGAAAGCTTGCGTCTGAGATTCTGATGCAAAACTGGGACATTGCGCTTTAGGAGCTTAATCGTACGAAAGAGATAATTGATTCTAAGGTCTTAATCTCTGTTCTTATCTTCTTTTTTTGTTGAGAATTAATATTTAGTATGTTTGCGTTTTTGTTAATCAATTTATTTTGCAGGCTTTATCGTCACCTTTGAGTTGTATCAAGTACAGAGCTAGATATTGCTGATGCACTGGAGCTTATTCATCTCTTTTAACCATGACAATAGCAAGACTAATAATTTATCAAGCAGGACATGTAAGTCACTAAGTTGATCATTATATATCTGTTCCATTAAATTTATTTTATTTATCTGTTTCCATTTGCTCTTGTCGTTTAAGAATCTCTGTTGACTGTTACTAATTTAAATATTAATTTCTAAACCAATATACACTTTATAACTATGTATGTGAAGCGAATGTTTCTTAATATAGTGGCATAGTGACATAGTTCTCTATATGTGCCTGAAAATTCGGCATATTTATCCCCAAAATGAACATGCAACTTTATCTTGCAGGTATCTTAATGTTATTCAAACAATTTCTCCTCATCTTTTGCGTTATCTTGCATCTACATTCATTCTATAATAGCATTAAGTAAGAAATAATCTTTACAAATATTGTTTATTTAAGAATTCTGCTGAACTTTTTTCCTTTACTTTCCTTTTGCTTAACATAGCCTTTTTTTGTCAAATTTGTCATATATTTGCTTAAATTTATTTTTCTTGCTGAAGTGAGCTTCTTTGATTGTCAAGATTATACTACAAGAAGTGCCCTGGCTAGATAGTTGAGAATTCAGGGCATTGGAACTAGTACTTGGACTTCGTTCTGATTACCAGAAGCCGAGTTATTTCCATTTGCAGGACACGGGAATGACTCTGAGGTTACCGAGTTATTTCCATTTGCAGGAGACGGGAATGACTTTGAGGTTAGTTGTGAACCACCTAGCTTAGTAGGAGATTCAGCTCTTGCTCTGGCGAAGTAACAAGCCATTTTGGCTCAGACAGCAACAAGAAAGCTTCTAGATGGCCATTTGCAGGAGACAGGAATGACTCTGAGATTGTTTACTTATTCATCATATATAAAAATGGCCTGTTTGTGCACTAGGGTTTACTAAATTTTGTAATCAATAGCATTTTGGACTTCTCAATAGGAGAGTTTATAATTAGTATACAAAATTGGATTTGATGATATGTTTGATAATATGTTTGTGGCATGAAATATTTGGATTTGTTATAAATTATTATAATAATTTGTATGGTAAATGGAAAGAAGAATAGGGGTATTTGTAACTAGCACCTGAAATGCTAGTAACAAATGCCCCTAATTTTTTTGTCTTATTCGGAGATTATTTGTAACGAGCATTGTAATTGCCTGTTACCAATAACTACTTATTCGTAACGGACACTTACAATGTGCCCATTACGAATAAATTATTATTTGTAACAGACGGTGCCCGTTACGAATAACAATGGCCAACCGTAACGACCGTGCACGTAACGGATGCTGCCCGTTACGGATGGGCCCTTTTTGCCTGTTACAGATGGCCTTTTTTCCACTAGTGAGTGTGAAAAATTTGTTATTTGTTGCTTCCAATTACTAAAGATTCAATCTTTAGTTGTTTTAAGTGATTGAAACTTTGAGATACTAAATTAAATGAATTTTTGGTTGAACTTTTGATTTAATCATGTATTAAGTTGATTGGAATCATAAAGTTTGAATCTTGTGATAGAAATTTCATTCAAATTCATATTGGAAGATATAATTTTCAAGGATTCACAAGTGTTTAAGTTGGAATCTTTAAATTGAACTTTGTGTTTATATTTCCAACTCCCTTTTATTTTTGTCAAAATATCATGATTAATTTAAATTAATAGTGAGTTATTGCCCTTATTATTTTTTATTGCACCAAGTTAAACCAATTTTATTAAAGAATGGTTCTTGGAAATAATTTTGGTTATATGCACCTTAATGAATTTTTTGACTTGTTTAATTTTTCATTTTTGCTCATTAAATTAATTATAAAACTAATTTAGAATTAATTATATGTCACTCAAAAATTGAGCTGGAAACCCGAAGTTGTGGCACGCAAATCGAGAGTCGGGCTGTATAGCAACTCACATGTAGCTCAAGTGGGTTGCCCGAACTTGCATGCGGCCTAGGTGCGTAGCTGCTGCATGTGCTGACATCATGGCACGCCATTACAGGGGCCAAGGGCAGCAGCATAGTTTTGTGCGCGCGCACCATGTGTGCAACTATGTGGCTGGTCGTAGCTAGCCATGGCTGGTGCATGCATTGAGCATGGTATGTGTGTGTTGCTTGGTTCTTGGTGGAAAGGGGCAAGCAGCCTTAGTGTATGTGCCTAGCATCAGGTAACCCGTAGCAAATGCTACTTGGCTTGGCCTAGCTAGTGCTATGTGGGGGCGATGGAGGCATATGCACCAAGTTGTATCGTCCAAGGTTGCTAGACAATCTTGGCTTGCATGTGGCACATACTTAGTGAGTGAGCCACTTGAATGCGGTTGGCTTCATGTTTGCTGTTATTTATTTTTTCCGTTTTAATTATTTTATAAATTTCATTTTGTTTTATTTATTTTAATAAATGTTGGAGGCTAGGCCTCGGTTTTTAAGCGACATTTGCAAAATTTAATTTTGGCAAATATTTGGGTTTACCGGCTTAATTAATTGGATTAATTAAGATGGATGCGAAATTTAGTGGGAGCTTTAATTATTAATTGCGCTAAATTACATATACAATTAAACAACCTTGACTACTTTTAATTAGACATGTTAATTGGATTAACGACCTAAATTAGTTACTAGTTTTCGCGCATTTTATACATTGTTACTTGTTTTGTCGTTGCAAAATGCATGGGACATTCACAAATAGTGAATGGATGAATGGAATGTGTATTCTCTGACATGTTTTATAAAATGGCTAGTAGTGGGGCCTGACTAAGATAGAAAATACGGACTGCAATTCGTGATGTATTTTTGTAAATCTTAATACAGTTTGCGAACCGTTGAGTATTTTTGTACCTTAATATTTAGATTAGTCCAAATTGTAGATACTAGTATTTGGATATTTATGGTCATGTCTTGAAGACAGAGGTTCTTTTAAGACGAAGCTATGAAGTTGCAAAAGTCGTCCCTTGAAGACTTGAAGACTCAAGGGGTCATTCTAGTTACCAAATGCATCTTTATTAATGTTTTTGATATATATATTTATGAGTATTTATATATAAATATATGTTAGATGCAAGCTTAGGATTTCGAATGTTGTGATGATTAATTAACTTCGCTTAAATCAACCAACATAGAAACCCTAGGTCACTAAAAAATTGAGTGAAATTGCCATTCCATAACAACACTTATCGACCTATTGTTAGTAGTGATGGGCTATGCCAAAGCGAGTTATCACTATTACTCCCTAGGGTACATAAGGCATACCGGGTATGCAAGTTGGTTTTGGTTGTACTCAACTATATGAGTGATGGAGTCATAACATATTGTGGCAAAGTGGATAAGTTGTTGAGAGAGCATTAGATGCGACAATTTATCCAACCAAGAGTGGCTTGGAGCATTAGCAAAGCGTTTCTTACCTTAGGAATTGAGTGTTAATATAAGCAAAAGCATGCTTAACCACACTTTGTTTCTTTGGATCTTGGAATCGACTTATACTCACCAAAAATGGGGACAACTTTAATGTGTGAATAAGACGTTAAAATAAGTTTGATTAAAATGTATGATTTCAATCTTATTTAAAGTATTGTGAATGGTTTTTCATTTCAAATTCTTTCATTTGTAGAATCATGTCATCAAATAACTCAAACAACCAATTCTCATTACGCTCAATTCTCGACAAGGAGAAGTTGAGTGGGCCAATTTTTCTTGATTCGCATAGGAACTTGCGTATTGTTCTCATGCAAGAGAAAAAGGAATATGTCCTTGATGAAGAAATGCCCCAGGCTCCCAATGAGGAGGTGACTTAAGCTGCCCTAAACCAATGGCAAAGTGCCAATCGGGATGCCAAATGCATCATGTTGGCCACAATGTCTCCCGACCTTCAAAAGACTTTCTTTGAGAATGAGACAGCTTTTGAGATCATTTGTGAGCTGTAGAATATGTTCCAAGAACAGGCCCGAATTGAGAGGTTTGAAACCCACAGACAGATCCTTCAGAGCAAGCTGAAGAAAGGAGAGTCGATAATCCCACGTGTACTCAAAATGATAGGATTGTTTGAGAATATGGGATGGCTTAATGTAGGGTATTCAACTGAGATGGAAATTGATATCATTCTCCACTTGCAGCACAAAGGCTATGATCCGTTCAAGATGAACTATAATATGCACAGCATGGAGAAAACCCTCACCGAGCTTCATGGTATGTTGAAGCAAGCTGAGCTAACTCTTAAGGATGAGGGGAAGCATGATATACTCATGATAAAAAAAAAAAAAGGCAAGTCGTTTAAATTATCAGGCAAGAAGAAGAAAGGCTTTAAGGGGAAGGGTAAGAAGAGTACCTTTCCGCCTAAGTCTAAAGCTACCAAAGATAACAAGGAGAAGAAGGTAGCGTCATCTAAATCTGATTCCGAATGCTTCTATTGCAAGAAGAAAGGACATTGGAAGAGAGATTTCCTCAAGGTCAAAAAAGATAAGAAGAACGGAACCGTTACTTCTGGATCAGGTATATTCATTATAGACTTAAACTTCACTAGCTTAATATCATAGGTATTAGATACCAAATGTGGCTCACATATTTGTTCCAATTCTCAAGGTCTAAGGAACATTAGGAAGCTAGCAAAGGGAGAGGTTAAACTCTGGTTCAGCAATGGATCAAGAATTGTAGCCGTCTCCGTTGGAACTCTCAGTTTGTCTTTGCCTACTGGGACTGTTTTGGAACTTGAAAATTGTTATTATTTTCCTTACATTAACAAAAACATCATTTCCATTTCGGCGTTGGATGCTAAAGGTTTTGAATTTCGAGTAAAGGATAATGATTGTTCGTTTTACCTCGATAATGTTATATATGGTATTGCACATTCTAAAAATGGTCTTTATGTGCATTCTTTAGACAATCACGGTCATAATGTGAATAATACCTCCAAAAGGGCTAAGACAATGGAGTTAAATAAGACTTACTTGTGGCAATGTCGTCTTGGCCACATTAACGTTAAAACACATCAAGAAACCTCTGCAGGAAGGTGTTCTTGACTCTTTCGATTTAAAATTGTTTGAGAATTGTGAAGGATATTTATTAGGCAAGATTATTAAACAACCATTATCTAAGATGGGAGAAAGGGTAGGATACTTATTGGGTCTAACACACACCGATGTATGTGGACCAATGAGCTCTGCCACAAGAAACGGACATCGATATTTTATCACATTCAAAGACGACTATAGTAGATATGGCTATGTCCACCTCATGTCGCATTAATCTGAATCATTTGAAAAGTTCAAAGAATTTCTGAGTGAATTTGAAAATCAGCTTGTCAAGAAAATCAAAGCCCTTCGATCGGATTGACGTGGTGAATACTTGAGCCAAGAATTCAATGACCATTTAAAAGAAATCAGAATTGACACCTCCATGAACTCCACAATGGAACGGAGTATTCGAAAGGAGAAATCGAACCTCTCTAGACATGGTACAATCAACAATGGGTCTTAATGATCTTCCTATCTCTTTATGGGGACACGCACTTCTAACTGCACTTCTAAAACAAATCAAAAGTTGTAGAAAAGACCCCATATGAGTTATGGATGAAGAAACCTCCT